TTTTTTTTTTTTTTTTTTTTTTTTTTTTTTTTTTTTTATATATAGAAACAATTTTAATGTAAATCAATTTTCACTGGACTGTTCTCTCTCTCTCTCTCTTTTTTTTTCTCCAATTAATTTCATTACTATATTTTTATTTAAACAAATTTTAATTACTTCAATGCAACAAATAGCTAAGCATTAAAAATAGACATGATTCATCATGTTTTTTATTATGAAAAATCATGAACACTTTTGCTGCTTCGCTATTTGTTTATTTTTTATTATTAAATTTTTTTCAATATCATTCGCTTTTCATTATTATTATTTCTTCGTTCTTAATTTGATTTGTAATCACATTGTAGTAGAGTCTTATGTCTTTTTGCGAAAATCACACATATATATGTATATGTACATAGGGGAAAATATAACATATAAAAATGGAGCGCATCATTTAATTTCAATGATTTGTCTTAAATGATTGCCACAAAAAAAATCAATGAACAATGTGTTTATATTATTATTTCACTGTATTTCCAATAGAAGCACGCAATCAATGGGCATTAAAAAAGAAAAAAAAACGTTTAACGTTTAATTCCAATTTCTCTTTTTATAAGATATGCTATATTCATGCTAGTAGATTGTCAGGATTTTCAATAGCAACACAATGAAAAAGTAAAGAACAATATATAATGCCCTCGATAGAATATCAGAAAAGGGAAAAGTAAAGATAATATTGAGTTGCTATAACTGTGCTCAATATATAAATTTTAAGTTTCTCTTTTTACTATAGTTTTTCGCTTACATATTCTATTAACAAGATATATTAAAAATATGGTAGCAAAGACAGTAAATAAAAAAAGTATTAATATAGTAAAAAACCAAAAAAAGAAGTAATGAATTAAACAATTATCAATGTAGCTGCAAAATATATGTGGGCCCCATTCTTATATATTCTTATTAAATATTATGTAATGTATATTCTGCTATTATTTTTCATAGCTAAAAAAAGCAACAAGAACAATGAAAAAAAAAAGATAATTAAAAATATCAAGTGCATACACAGAGGGTAACCATTGTATGTTACAATTTATAATCATTGTACGTTTATTTTTTTCTGTTTTTTTCTTTTTGTTTTTCTAATATGTAAGAAGACCAAATAATTGATCAAGTGTATAGCGCATGAAATAAGAACAGTTTTTTACAAACAGAATAAGAAAACGCCTTCAAGATTACTTCGTATACATGGACAAAAATATG